GTGTTACAGCTCTCAAAGAGCTAATAGGTCCACCATGTAGTTTGTTTAGACATGCAGTGTAATAATTTTGATAAGCATGATAAGTTATATGACAGGATATGTTAGTAGAAAATTGTCAAAGATGTGAGTGGATAATTCATAAAAGGATAAGACATAATTTTTCACCTACTAGAAAATTTTTAAATGGTTTTTTCATTACTAGGATGCAGTGAAATAGGTCTAAGCAGTAAAAATTGGTACAAATTGTTTTTTTAGGAATTGTGTGTGCTTTTTACCCTTTAATTAAAAATACTTTCAGACTTAGAGAAAATATGTAAAAGTGTAGAGAGATTTCCATATATCCTTTACTTAGCTTTAGCTCATGTCACATTTTTTAGACATTTATTCTAAAGTGTAAGACATTGGGACATAGACTTAAATACAAATGTGTTATAATCTTGTTATCAGTTATTGTACTCTGATCTGAGAACTTCCCAAGTCTATCATTTGCAAGTTTTAATAGCTTTTTCAAAATCCACCTCAGCTAGTAAAGGTATCATGATAGTGTTAATGAATATTAACGTTTTCAGCTTAAGTAATATTTGCCTGTTACACTGTGTGGCATGCAAAAGATGCTTTTATGACAGACAGCTATACCAGCGAGAATAATATCAATAATGATAGAAAATATTTAATGAGTGACTTCAAGGCAGTGTGATTCATATGGATTATTTCATTTAAACGTCCACCAACCTAGGTACTGTTAACCTCCCCATTTTACAGGTGAATAAACTGAGGTTCGTAAGAGTTATCTAAGGTAATGTACTAACAAGTAACCAAGGCTAGTCAAACTTCAAATCCTTTATCCCTGATTACTGCTTTCCTCATTCTTTTCTTTCTTTTCTTTCTTCTCTCTTACTTCCTTGTTTCACAGTTATGTAGGCCTAGAAATCTATTTTGTATGCCAGGGGGAAGTGATATTCCTGGTGCCAAATGCTACCTTATTATCTTAGTTTAGGCTGTTGTAACAAAGTACCATAGATTGAGTGGCTTATAAACAACAGAAATTTATTTCTTACGGTTCTGGAGGCTGGCAGTCTGAGATCAGGAAGTCAGAAAAGTATAAGTTCTGGTAAGAGCCCTCTTTCAGGTGTGCAGACTGCTGACATCTCATTGTAACTTCATGTGACAGTAAAGTAAGCAGAGATGGGGAAGCAAGCTCTTTCAAGACTCTTAGGAGAGTCCCAGCACTGTTGTTTATGAGGGCTCCGCCCTCATGATCTATCCAATCCTAATTGCCTCCCAAGGGCTCCACTTTCTAATGACTTTCTATGCCATCACACCAGAGGTTGGGTTTCCACATATGAATTTGGGGAGACACAAACATTCAGTCTGTAACACCTTACAGTTATGTCAGAATATTCTCCATTCTATAAGGAATGCTTACTGAAAAAGGATTAAAAGCGGAGCCAGTTTCTACTCTAGAAGTACCAGGCACCACAAATGTAGGTACTGAATTTCCTTTATATTGACCATTTTGCTTCATCAGTGGGCTCAAAAGGAGTAATAGGTGTGGAATATACCAAGTTGTCTGGTTATTTCTCTCTTTTCTGCTAGTACAGTGTAATAATTATACATGTGTTCAGAGTTAATCCTGATCTATTGCTCTGCCTTTGTACTAGTGACTTAAAATCCTAGTGTTACATTTTGTTTTGAAAGGGAGCAGGAAAACAAAACAAAAGGTCGCCAGAGCATGTGAATTATTTCAAAATAATGATACTGAATTTGAGATTTTACTCTCTAAAACTAGAGCTGATAATTCAACCAATATGGAAAACAACCTTTGACCTATAGAGATACATTGACTCTTTCCTGGTTGAACGCTGATATACTTAAAAGTAATTAATAAAAATGTTCTTTTGTCCTTGAGTTGCTGAGCTTTTGGTGACTAGTCATTTGTTCTGCTAAATATCATAGGGTTTTGTTTGGGATCTTTGTTCGCTAATTTTGTTATGTTCAACCCAGAGCTAGTTTTCTAAATTAAAAAGGAACAGTAATAGCTAGAATGTATCAAGCCATTTCTATTAGCTGATGCTTTGCTAAATATTTTATATTAATTTATTTCATTCAGTTATTAAATCTCCAGAACTCACAATTAGGACATTCTGATACTGGAGTCAAGTTTTTGGCTATTTCCTTATTTTAGGAGTTGGTAAATTGATGTATCTTCACGATCTATATAGTCAATGTAAATACAGGAAATGACTGGATGTATGGTGATTACTCTGGTAAATTAGATTTTGCTGTGTTCTATCTAAAAGTGTTCATACACAGTTTTTAAAAACACTATAGGCCAAACCAAAATCAGAAGATTGAATGGATAAATTTCAAATATGATGGATGATAGCCATTCTTATCCAGATGAAATTATTTAAATGATTTTATTGGACACTTATTATATTCCCTGTTCTTTCATATACCCATCCAAGACTTTGAGCAAATTACTTAATCTTTAATTAGATCCATAAAGAATGAAATAAAGCCTTATGTTACTTCTTTTTGACAATATACTATAAACTGAGGGAGAGCCCCAAAGTTGGAACAGATGTTTTGAAATACATGTCAATGATAAAACGTGATTTTTCCAACATACTAGTAAGCAAGCAGAAAACTTCTATGAATCAATAAGTAAAAGTCATCATTTTAATGGAGATAATGAACAGGCTTCTAGTAGGAAGAGGCAGTTCACACATAATTGGTATTACCACCTTGGAGACCCATTTTGGAATTTGAAATAAAGGTGACAATGGGCATACATAATGACCCAGCAGTCCACTTCCGGGTTAGTCCCTGTGGAGAATTTCACAAACAGGCAGGACAAAATGTGAACATGTTCATTGTATCACTGTGTGATAATGCCAAGCATTGAATACCTACTCTCCTTCTGTAGGGGAATGGGAAAATAAACTGGGTTCATTCCTACAACAGATTATACTTCAACATGTAATAATAGAGCTACCTATATCAGCATGGGTAAATCTCAACACCATGTTGAGTGCAAAAGCTAAGTTCCAAAAGATGTGAATTATGTGATACAATTTGTATGCTTATTCAGAATAGTAGCCATTCATTATAGATAACATGGATTCTTTATGGATAACATGCACCTATGCATGGTAACAGTGCCCCTCAACTCCAGTCTTTAACTTTGGAAGGAGAACACAAGACAGAAGGGTGCTTTATATCTGTAAATTGTTTTTTTAAAAAAAAAAAAAAAAACCTGAGCTTTGAAACAATAAAGTCAATATCTGTTTAATCTCTGTGATAGAGACATAGAAATGTTATTTTTTGTACTCTTCTGATATTTGAAGTGTTGTATAATCTTAAAATATGTGTAAGTGTGAAAGATTAATTGCAACTAGAAGGTTTTCTGTTTTTTTTGTCTTTGTTGTTTATTTTTATTTTTTATTTTTGCCATCCCAAAAAAACCAAGTATTTAACCCCTTGTGGTCATTCAGGAAAGCTTTGAGTAGAAGGCAGCTGTAGAACTGTGAAAACAAAGGTGCTTACTTGAGCAAAGAGGAAGAAACTAGCTTTCCATAGCAGAAGGAACAGTGCCCAAAATCATGGTGGCACTTACCTGAAAGAGAACTTACACTGGAAGCAAAGAAAGGGCATGGAGGAGTAGTGATTGAAATCAGACTGTGAATTTAAGCAGGGCCTGGGGATGAAAACCATGGTCTGTGTACATATGTTTAGCCTTAACCCTGTGGATCAATGGTTCTTAGTTCATGCTAATCATCAGTCAGAATTAACTGAATCCCATTCTAGACTTATTGAACTAGCTTATCTTAGAATGATAACCAGGACACTGTTCCTTACAAGTCTCTGCCACATCTGTTTTCTTATTTCACTCTAACAACCCTCCATCTGTGTAATGGAGAATTATAGTACAAAGTAAGATTAGACAAGATGATCCTGTTAGTTTTTTGACATACCTGTGTTCAGAATTCAGCGCCTCTCCTGTGAAGTGATAACTTCTGCTTCTGCCCCTTCTGACGGAGGCAAATGGAGAAGAGCTACGCTAAGAATGTTTTCTTCAATCCTGAGATGGTTGCTCTGGAGGCTTTTTCTCCCAGTCCCTCCAGAATTTCTTATGAGATCAAAGCCTCCATATCAAATTAGATTAAATTGCAAAACTAAATGGAGTGCAGTAAAGACCTGCTCATTATTGCCGACCCAGAGAGCTTTTGAAAGATTTATGGCAGTGTGACCTGATAAGCTTTGTATTTTGTATTGGTGGGAAGAGAGGAGGTCAAGGGCAAGGAGCATTAGCAGTATTCCAGGTGAGAAGTAACATCCATCCTTAGTAAAGCTTTGGCAATCAGAAGTAATAGACTTGTAAGAAAATGAGAGATAGTATGTAATGAACATGCTCTATGAGGTTTCCATTTTTGATGAGGTTGTGAGATTGGGCAAGGAAAGGAAGAAAGCCTGGGCAGAGGGGAGGGGTAGTGGGTTCTAGATAGTATGTCCATGTCAAATGCTTGAGATGAAGACTGCAAAAGTTTTGGTTTTCAGTGTTACATCAAAAGTCACGGGAAATGTTGGTGACAACTACCAATAATCTGGTTTGATTTTTCTTTAGTTTTTGGTAATATTCTTCCACACAAAATTATTTTATGGTTCTTTCTGTGGGTTTAGGGCCACATACTTGTGTGTTTAAGGTCACATACTATCTTACTACCTAGCACTTGTTCCCAAAAAGAGCCAGTGGCCTTTGACCAGCTGTAGGAAGAGGGTTAGTGGAGCGTTCTCTCTTATTTTCCATTATTGGCCTTTTAATGTAATATAACTCACTGGAGTGTTTTTTAGTTTATCTACTATCAAGTTAGTAGAAGCTTTTCATTAGAAAATATAAAATCTCATGAATAAAAATTCTATAACAGAATAAGGCCTGATTCGTAAGCATTTTCTAATAGAGATGAATTATAGGAGCCTTTTTTTTTTTTTACACATAGGGCAAAAGCTGGATTGTTAAAAGAAGTTATGAAGATTTTCGAGTACTTGATAAACATCTTCATCTATGTATTTATGACCGACGATTCTCTCAGCTCTCAGAGCTTCCCCGTTCTGATTTCCTGAAGGACAGTCCAGAGGTAAGCATTTAGTATGTTGCAAAAGTAATTATATAAATTAGTAGCAATTTTTGCCTGTGTACTAAATAAAAGGTTTGTTACATCAATAGTAACACCAAATGAAGTGTTTGTTACATCAAACACTCAGAATGATTCCTGGCATTATTTATTTTAACTGAAAAATTAGTAATGCTTGTGAGGTGTTTATAATTAAAGTAGGTTTGGTATATAATTTTATAAGAAAAAACTCATATGGGCAACATATATGAACAAATCATTCTTCAAAGAGAACTTAAAATATGGAAGCAAAAGCATAGAAAAACATTGACCTCACTAATAATGAAAGAAATGTTTATTACAGCAATGCTTTTTGCTTAAGTTTATCATGGCAGTCTGTGTCTGTGTACCTACCTCCACTCCTGCTAAAAATTCCTAGTAAAAATATAAAAGATCTTCAAAAAATTTGTAAGGGAAGAGATTCTTTATAACATGAGAAATAAAAAAACATCAGAAAGTCAAAGATTGTTAGGAATCTTTGAAAGTAGTAGATAGGTAAGATTAATGGGAGTAAGAAAATGCAGCATAAGGAACATGCACAAGAGGACTGCAGAAGACAGATAAACTAGAAATCTTAAATTTGAAAATTGATTGAACAAAACACCTGAGAGGAGCAAGCAGAAGAGCAAGCACGGGGAAGTGATCGATTGCTCTCCACGGAGAGAAAATGAGGCAGTTCCATTCGTGGAATGAGGGAAGATTTTTAAAAAATAAATCATCAGAGATCTTAGAAAATGACCATCTAGTCATTTAAATTAATGTTAGTGATGCTAAACCTGAATAGACGGACTACATAGAAGTGTACACAGTTGAAGAGAGAATTAAGGAGCTGGAAGAGCAAGCTTTGTAAGAATATAGCCCCCAAAGGGATAAAAAGATAAAACATTGTAAGAGAACAGTTGGGAGTCATGGAGAATAGATCCAGATGTCCCTGCTTCCCTTTTGTAGAAGTTATAGGAGGAGTGGATGGAAGTAACTAAAAACAAATATAAGAAAATTGCCTGAAGCTAAAGAAAAGCATGTTCTCAGATTATACATGGTCCCATTAAGTGCTAAATATGAGTGAGAAGACACATCTAGAAACACTGCAGTAAAATTTCAAAATGTTGAGACAGAAAACCCAAAAAGTTTCCAGAGAGCAAAAAACAAATTTTCTCAAACCAACAAGAATTGTATTGGCATTAGACTCCTTGACAGCCACAGTGGATGCTTGAAAACAGTGCACAAAATCTTCCAAGTCCTGAGGGGAAGCTATATCAAATCTACAATTCATTCCAAGGCATTTAAGTAGGTAGAGCAAAGTAGAGACAGCATCTTTCATGCAAGAACTGACCCTGCATGCGCACGTCAGGAATGTCTTAAAACCATGGATTCTTTCTTTTGTAGCATAGAAAACCTAGAGTCTCTGTATCTCCATTTCCCATCTCTGCCTACTGTTAAATTTTTCTCTTTCAGACTCTCAGAACATGGCCACTACCAACAGGTCCCAGGTTTTTAATCTCTTTTTAAGACAGCATTCAGAAAGAGCTGAAATATTCTATCAAATTACTAATTCCCGTAGTATCTCTTGTTAGCCCAGCTAATATTTGATCACATTCCCAGGCCAATCAGCTGACCTGTGCTGTAGGATCATCTATGATCCTGGCTGTTTTGCCACAGCCAAATACAAGGAAAATTGAAAAAGTTTCAGAGTAGCCAGGGGAAGCTAGGCAGAAAAGCCAAGTATGTTTCTGTTACAGTTATCTTTTTGTGTTTTCCATACAAACATAGAAAGAAAAAGCAATAATATTAGAAACTGTGATATAGTATGATCCCTGATGATGAGGGGCTGATTGTCAAAGTTCTTCACAAGACAGGGAATTACTATTAAGGGCCTGAAGTTTCAGTTGGTGGAACTGTTAAGCCCCTGTAAAGAATCCTTTGTAACTATTAAAATGCCTAAAAATCTTCAGATTACACTCCACCCCCTGAAATAACCAATTTACACCAGTTCCTTTGACAAGGAGTTTATGTATCATCTTTACTGAGTTACACTGAATCTTCTCTTTCTCTTTAGTCCGTCACGCAGATGCTTATAGCTTACCTGTCCCGCCTCTCAACTATTGCTGGCAACAAGATCAACTGTGGACCTGCCCTTACTTGGATGGAGGTACTATCTAATTCATCTCTTCTTAAAGTTTATTTTTAAATTGTCTACTTAAGAAATTTAACAATTTAATTTTGATAGCTATTGTGTTTCAGGAACCAGAGAAATGATGTTTAGCATCTTCAGGAAGGATAGATACATACGTGATACATTAAATACTTTTCATTTCGAATCTTTCTTTGATAATCCAGAGGATTAATTTAATGTATTTTATGAATTGCAATGACACCTGTTATTTGGTGTTTAATGTATTAATGTGTGCATTTAGTAAGGTGTACATATTTTTTCAGTTAATTCATACTGAAAATTTTTTTGTTATTTGTGAACAAGATAACCTTTTAAAAGGTTCAATATAAGAGTAAGAATTGAATAATACAGTATCCAGTAAATATGTAAGACATTTCTTCTTAATGTGCTTATGTAGAGTTATATTATTCTCTCCTCCCAGTGGAAAGTATGACAGGGTGGAATGTGGAAAGAATGTAGAACTTAGAGCCAGGCCAACTTGCATTGAGATATTGGCTCTTCCAGTAGTGGCTCTGTTATCTTGGATAAATTATTTAATTTCCCTTGAAGTACATAATTTCTTTTAGCTTTAGCAGCTTCATCTTTAGATAATGATGATGATGATAAGTATCATTTATATTTATGAGGATTAAATTAAACCATATATGTTATATGCACAGCATAATGAATGACATATGTTAAGTACTCAGTAAGTGGTAGTCTGTGTTTTTCTTTTAAAGCGTCTTTGGATTATGATTCCTCTAAATCAAATTGAATTATCTTTTATAGGTAGTCATACTTTCACAAGTCCCATGTCTCTAACCATCTCATTGTCCATTTTTTTTTTTTACAGATTGATAATAGGGGGAATCACCTTCTAGTTCACGAGGAATCATCCATTAATACTCCTGCTGTCGGAGCTGCCCACGTTATAAAGAGGTACACTGCTCGGGCCCCTGATGAACTGACCTTAGAGGTAAATGACTAGATACCTATGTGTTAACTCCATCCTTGCTACCTTTCTAGCTCATGTTTAAATGTTTTTTTATTTAATCATTTCCTTAATTAAAAATACAAGGTTTTTCCATACCCCATTATCTTGCAGACTGAAACACCATCTGTTTTCATTTAAATAACTGAACGTATCCTTCAGAAGTCATCTTAAATGCCTCCTATTTCTTCTAGGAAGTCATCCTTGATCTTCTCCCTATTCCATGCAAATACATACCCCAAAAGCGCCTGGATTGAATGTCATTCTGAACTGTCTGTTCTCATGGCTCATGTCTGACATAGCACTATTACATCCAATCATAAGTGTTCTCCTGTTTGTAAACTTCTTAAAACCAAGTCTCAATCTTTAGTCTTTGTGTTTTAGTAGCTAAAAACTACCCAGTGATACTTTCTACTCCTTATTTGTTAAAAAATTGAGTTAACAGATCAAAGTGAAATAAACATTTCTTGCTGTTAGATGTAAAAGGAGGGGAATTAAGTTTCTTCCTTTAATATTCACTGATGAGAGATAAAAAAATGCTGGCAGTTATTCAATTTTAAAAAGTGTATAAATTTTTACTGTACAGAATTTGAACTATTTTCAAACTCAATTTTTAGGTTCTGTATACAAAGGAATGTAGGTCTTGAAAGATTCCAAGTCTATTAGCAAATACAGTTTTGTGAAGCTGAGTCTTTAATAACTTGAAAAAATAGTTGTGAGTATACAATGTAAATTCTAAAGCAATATTGTATACATTAGTAATATTGCTCTAAAGTGCTGAACCTGTTTTATCACAGAAATCATGACTTATTTTGATTGAAGAATATAACTTCCATTAAATGTATTATTAAAAACTATTACTGATTTTTATTTTTATGTCATAACAGTTTGTTTCAATTCACTAATTTGCTTTTTAGAGTGAAGAAAAAAAAGTAAGCTACTTAGTGTAAATATATTTTACCATCTATTGAAAGAAGTGTAAAGTTGTAATCAAATTTTATACTTACTAATAATAACTTAGTAATTATAGACATCTTAGGCCTTCCCCATATGATTAAATATGTCAAGTGCTCAACACAGTGTCTGGCACATTGTAAGTGCTCACTAAATGTGGTATTAATAGCATTTGTTCTAAATGTGAGTATTTAAAACTGTCTTTTATAAGTGATTCTGATCAATTTCAATAATAGCAGTAAAAGAGTATTTTAACAAAAGTGGTAAAGATGATTTGATGCCTACACCTTTAAAAATCTTACATATTCTGAAGTTACTGTACATGCTAGTTGGATCACAGTCTTTGTGCTGCTTATTTTTTTTGTAGATGTCTTCTTAACAAATGGTTAAGACTATTAAATTCTTTATAGAAAGAAGTGTCTTGTTTTTCCAGAAATAACTAGCCAGAGAATAAAAATAGTATTTTACCTTTTCATTATAGTTCAGATTTAAATTCTAGGTATAACAGTTGGTTTAGAATTTGACTAAAAACATTTCGTTTAAAACTTTTTCTTCTAGGTGGGAGACATTGTTTCTGTTATTGACATGCCCCCAAAAGTGTTAAGCACATGGTGGAGAGGCAAGCATGGATTTCAGGTAGGCAACAAAGAATTAGGTGTACAGAAGTTCAAAGAACAGTTTTTCTTTATTCTTCAGTAATATTTCTGTTTATAACATGTACTGACAATAGACTTGTCATCAGAAATTTGGTCTGCAGTGATAGAAAAATGTAGATCACATTCAACTTGGATTTCCTTCTGTAGTTACTATTGTGGTTGTTTTTATCTCCTTTTCCTTCTCGAAATGGTGATATGGCTAAAGTATGATCAGAACAGGCCTGATGACTACTTTTAGATTATCAGGCCTGTAACTCTGCCTTGCTTTTAATATTGGTTTTAAATCATGATTCACATATATTTTACTCTAGAATTGAGTTAGTTTGATCAATATTTTTCTTTCAAAATACCTTGTAATTGTTAATGTAAACAATGTATGAATAGCAGAGCAGCAACAGAATCTAAAGAAGTTTCATTTCTCTTTAGATACATGGCTAAATAATTTGAGACCTGATAATAGCATCTTTTAGATTGAATGGCCCTAATTTCCATAGGATAGATAGATTTTCTTTTAACTTTCAAAACTATCAGTAGAAGAGTATCTGGAAATGCCTTAGAATTGTATGTTTATAACCTGTGGTTTTTGTGATCTGTTTATAAGTGTTCCTAAAATGCTGCATAAATAAAATGATCATGCCATATAGCTAAAAATGTTAATAACCATTATATAAATATTTTGAAACTTTTATACTACATATTAAACAAGAACTATTAGGTTTTTATAAAATGTATTTTATTTTAAAATAATCACACAATTTAAAATAGTACAGCATGCTCTAGGGCAGGATTGCCTGGGGTTTAACGCTATGTTATCTTGAGCAAGTTATTTTACTTCTCTGTGCCTCACTATCCCCATTTGTAAAATGGGGATTTAGGCCTATTCTTTATCTCATACGATTATCATAAAGTTTAAGTGTGTGAGATAAAATATGTAAAGTACTTAGACCAGGCCTGATGTATACTTTTCACTCAGTAGTTGTCGATTTTTAAATCTAAATAATTGTTCTTTCTTTTACAAATTCAATTTTATCTATCCTTTTGTCTAAAAGCACTTATTATAATTTAATTTGATGATTAAGATCAGGAAAATCATATCCATATTACACTACAAATTTTCTAATTTGTACAATTGGGGTCCTCCTTCATCTGTACTCTGATTTCTTAATTGCTATGAGTAATTGGTGCTTTTGATTAAATATGGAGCTAAATAGAAAACTCGGGCTATCTTTTTTTCCTATGAAGTGGTCAATTCTGCATGTTCCTGGTAATGAGCTACAAATTTTAGGTTCTAAAAGATGATCAAAAAACAAGTTTGATTTTAAAATAGCAGTTATATTTTGGCCTTGATATTGCTACCTTTCTTATAATCTTAGACAAGTCACTTTCTTTGGACCTCAGTTTCTTCTTAGTTAGAGAGTTCCAGTTACAATCCCTCTAGTCCTTCTCAACATTTTAATTCTGTAATTTTAAAAGTGGTAGCAGGTTTTCCTCTGCCCATGTAATTTATTTATTGAGTATTGACTTTCTGCAGATGTAGATTTATCTTAATTCTTTTACTTAGAGTCACACAAATTAGTTTATTTTTTAAACAAGTTTTTAAAAAACAAATATAAACTAGTTAAAAATTAGCTTATTGCCAAAAAAATTATTTAAAATACAAACAGGTTTATAAACTTCAAGGATTGGTTTGTGATTGATATTGAAAGATTTTGCATATAGGAATACTATTTTTCATCTTGATTGGTTGTGGAAAGGCATTCATATCTGTTTAGATCATGTTGGAGTATGCATTTGCAAAGGGTAGGAGGCATAAAACCAGGAGCAGGTCTTTAAATATCACTGTCAAAACTTTATTTAAATAGTACTTGAAAGAAAGAATCTGCCCAATTCACTCTTCCTTGCTATTTCTAACACTAGTCCATTTGTAAGAGCACCTCATGGTTTACTGCAGAGGAAGGTGTAAATGGGGAGGCTTGTATTGAGCATCTGCTATGTGTAAAATACTGCTGGGCGCATTATAAACAATGTTTTCTTTAATCTTTACAAAACTTCAAGGTAGTTGTTATGGCCCACTTTATGAAGAGGAAACAGTTTTGAGAGGTTTAATAAAGAGGCCCCAATGCCAGATCAGTAAGTGATGGAGTAGGTACTCAAATTCTAGTCTGCTCAGTCACATTGCCTGAAGAGCACTAAGCATGATTTCTGTATTTACTCTATTAACTTTATCCACCTCAGTTGTCTACCCTATAGAAAGGAATATTTTTCCTTCCCAGCCAGCAAGGAATGATGTAAAGATGAACCAACTGTGCACTGCAAAATGTGCAGGTTTATGTGATGATTAATATATTGCAACTGGGAAAAAACTCCTCTTCAGGCTATTTGTGATGTTCTCCACCCTTGTTAGGTATCTTTTAAGTTGTGAGCCTGTGTGCTTCCTTCCTCAAATACTCTGTTGAGAGAGGAAGATAATCATAATTTATTCCATGTACATGATAATTATATATTAGATCCCTTTAATATCCTGATTTTTAAGTTTGAAATAGTAGGAGTAATGGCTTAGTCCATTGGTTTTCATACCTTTTTTTTTTGACTCAGTGGAATTGTTAATCAAACAGAATCTCACACAGAACCCCAGTTCGAGAAAAGGTAACAGTGGAGCTGCCCAGGTTAGTTTTTGAGTCAAGCTCCTGGGCTCTCTGCCTGGTTGGCCTCCAGGAGGCCTTCTGAAGCATCCCTGAGGGACATCGTAGAGTTGTGTACATGCAGCACTACTAGAAAATCATGAGTTTAGGTTCCTAGTAGGCCTTACTCTTTGTAGTAGGTATATGAAATCAAAGATATTCTATAATTTGAATTTTTAAATCCAGTTAACATTCTAAAACTATTAGTGGAACTTGTTCTTCATAAGAACGTTTTTATGTGGCTGTTTTGGATGGATAATATTTACATTTTTTTATTTCTGTAACATAAATTTTATCTGAATTCCTAATACTTCACATATATTCTAGTATAGATGGGTAATACAAATTCAGAATGTTGAGTAATAATCATATTTTTTGTGATTTTTTTTTCTTTTGTTAAGTATTGCTGTTTCTAGGGTTCATCTGGTGCTTCATTTGTCTCTTAGGGGTTGTATTAGTTTGCTAGAGCCATGATTACAAAATACTACAGACTGGGTGGCTTTTACAATAGAAATTTTGTCTGTTAGCATTCCAGAGGCTGGAAGTCCAAGATCAAAGTGTTGCCGGGGTCGGTTTCTTCTTAGACCTCTGCTCAGCTTGCAGAAGGCTGCCTTCTTGCTGTGTCTTTACACCTTTTTCCTGTGTGTGCCCACATCCCTGGTACCTCTGTCCTTGTGTCCTAATCATCTTTTCTAATGAGGATACTGGTCAGATTAGAGCAGACACACCCATCTACCTCATGTGACCTCATGTTGCCTCTTTAAAGGTTGTATCTCTAAATACAGTCATATTCTGAGATACTGAAAGTTAGGGTTTCAACATATTAATTTGGGGGGGATATAATGGGACATTCAGTTGTAGATGGCTAGGTGGGTGGAGCCATCTCTCTGGCTAACTTGAACGCTCTTCAGGGACTTTCTCACAGACTTGTTATATAAGAAGCAGGGCTTTACCTGAGCCAGGCTGGCCCCTAGGCCAAGCGCAGGCAGAGCTTAGGAGTGTTAGCCATGACTGCTGAGAGCTAGAGGGCCTCAGGAGGAAGGAGCCCTGGAAATGACTGCTCCATAGGTGTCCTGCCCCACTGCTGTCCTCAGGCAGCTCCAAAGCCAGCCAGCATCTGAGAAGGGGCCCACCTCATACAGGCTGGTATTGGGCCATCATTTTCCATCATGGCAGAAGGCCCTCTGGGCATTAGGCATTGTGCCCTGAAGCAGAACAGAGGACAGGTTGCTCCCCTCAGGGCCTCTTAGGTGAGTGGAAGGTTCAGAGCCTAGCAGGACACCCTGGGAGGTTTAGGAGGGATTCCACGAGGAGGTAACTTTGCAATGCAGTCTTGCTCATTTTGGCTGCGGAGAAGATGTACAAATGACCCAGACTGACCAGCGAGGCATGGAATGGCGTGCACCTCAGTTAGCCAGCTTGACTTGTGCTAGCCATACAGATGGACTCTGTAAACTGTGCTTTTTTTGTCAGTGGACGATGAAGGAGGAAGCACAGAGGCAGGAAGCCTGTGCTTATAGTGTAGGACATGTTGAGGATCTGGGCTTTGCCTTGGCCTTGTGATAGCTTGGACAGTGGTCCTCCTGGGATCAAGATTATTTAGAGCTTACCACCGTTACGAGAGGGAGGGAAGGGGAGCAAGGATGAGGGCCACTGGTTCTCAGGATGGAGGCTAACCCTGGGTGTCAAGCTCTGAGCACTGCTGGAAAGCTTTCTGTAAGTGGGATGTCAGTGTGCAGGCCCCATGTGTCTCCACTTGCCGGTCTGCTCAACTTGATGTACTTATGACATGTTATGTGGACTCCACTTTTTCTTCTGTCACAGTCATGTGTGTTTGCTGTCACCTTACTCATATACTTAATAGTGCTGTACTGCTATTTCTCTTCTGTTACCCATAATTGTCTCTACTCTTCCTTCACCACTGATTCTCAAACTTTTATGTATTTAAGAATCATTGGGAAAATATGTTAAATTATAAAATCTCAGGACCTAAGCCCCCAAATTCTGTTTCAGTGGTTGTGGAATAGGATGTAAGGCTGTGTATTTATCCATGTGGTTCTAGCCTAGGTGTTCCTCAGACCAGCCTTCTCCAAATAGTGCTCACTCTGTGATGAAGGTAAATGCTGCTCTTCATCTGCTAGTTGATAAAGATGAACATTTTGCCAAATTCTAGTCTATATCGTTTTAACCTAGACCATAATTGAGCTGTGGGAACAAAAGGATTAGTTCATCCGTGTGTTTAAATTATACCATGACATTGTTTCTTTTCTTAAACTTCTGGGAGTAGGAAGTGTGAAAT